TTCGCGGAACGTGCACCGGCAACTCACAAACTTGCAACTGCGACAGTGATGGATCAGACACTCCACCTCTAGTCGACACCGGCCTCTTAGCTTTCAAGGTATGGCAGTATCTTTGGCACACATTTCTGACAGTATTTTTATAAACAACTGTATGAGATGCATAACCAGTTAAGAATACTCGAGAAAGGAGGATAACAAACGTTAGAATTTTCTTATTGATCCCTTATGCCTCAGTGTGCAACAGGGCCGAGAGCCTTCCAGTATGCGCGCATAAAATGCGTAAAACTAAGTGCTACTTAAGTTGTTTGAGTAATATACAATGTTCACTTGTCCAAGCGCCAGTGCTCATGACGGCATTCTTAGTACAGTGGTACCAATGTCGTGTCGAATAGCAACAGCGGACTTATCTGCGCCTTCTCTGGTGAACTATGTAGAGCTCTCGTAGTTAGTCGCATTCGGCCCTCAGCGAAACATATAAGGAGGACGAAAGGTTAAAATCCCTTCTCGTTAACGGCAAATGGTTACACATAGACACTTGATGTTGGTCAAAGGGAGAAAAGGATAAGTTTTATGCAATTGCCTCCGCTTGACATATTAAGCATATTTCCGGACGAACGGCGATTTCATTCTTCAACCCAATACCGGTCTTCGATTTTAGAAATGACAAATGGTCTTGTTGCTTGACACCAGCAACCTCCACTGATTTTTAACCAATCTTTTTCCTTCTTTTCCCTCTTACAATAGGAAGATCTTCCAGTTTGGGAAGTCCGTTTTGGAGATACGGGTGGCCTAAATGACAACAAAAAGGCCGAGTACAGTGTCCAGGAGTTGCGCTGTTTGGGTGACCGTCTTTTCGACAATACCGTAACTTTTGTGAAAGAGGACGCCAACATTGAGCTACCCCTCATCTACGCAGAGTTCGAATTCGACATGAGCTTCCTCTTTAAGACTACCGTGACAGATGCAGTGTTGATGCAAAATGTGGGACGCAAGTCGGGTCACTTTTTTGAGCTTCGGATCCGAAGTAAGTTACAAAATTCCATATACAGGGCTTTCCTTATTGGCCTTTGTTCCGCCTTCCTCCCACACTCCTTCTCCATGGCTTCTGTCCCAACTTTGTTCGCATTCAGGATTTCTCAACTTTTCTCTTCCATGCACTTAGTAGAACCGTAGTTTTGGCGCCTTCCAGACACTTTTCCCGTTAGGCTTCCTCTTTATGGTCTTTCTTATACAGTAAGATTTAGCATAAATAGTTGTTAGTTTAACCCGACTTTTGCCTGTTAAGGGTGGCAAACATATGTTTTCGGTATTTCATCATCAGAGCTGCACTACCGAGAATATGAAAGTTGGGTAGGGTTTGTAAATGGCTTATGATTAAAACTCATCGTTTTCACACCGCACGAAAGCCGAGATTGGCATGTAAAGGCCACTGGACCGGGGACGAGGGAATATAGGGATAGGCTGTGAGTCGAGCACGCAGAGTGAAAATCGCTGTCACGCGCACGGGATGAACAGTTGTCACCATGGGGTTGTGGCGGCGTGCGATCGCCATCTGGCGTCAGCCATGGAAGAGAGAGTGCCTGTATTAGGGTCATAACCATTACGCACAGCCTGTCCTACTTCTCAGCAATGACCTCTACATGCCGCTCTCGCCATACGGGCGGTGTGAAAAGGATGAGTTTTAATCATAAGACATTAATTAATTCTGTCCACCTCT